ATGCAAATGAGCCCTGATGCATATTGATGCGGAGCTCGTGGGGGGGGCAGGGAGGGGGCAACTCTGGTCCCAGGGCCGGGCCACGGGTCTGGTGTCCCGGGACGGGGTTTGGGAGCCCTGGGGCCGATCCTCAGAGCCTGACCCACAGCCCTGCCCTGGCAGTCAGGGCACATGTCTCGCTGCTTCTGCCCCCCCGCCTGGCGCACGGACCCCCGCACCCAGGCACCCGCTGCCTGCGCCCAGCCCCGGGGCCCTGCCACAGCCCCCAGTCCCTGCACCGGTGCTGGCAGCACCCCCCGCCCCAGGGCCCTCAGGCTCCGGTGCCGCACCCCGGCTCCACCTGCCGCCGCGCGGGACTGACTGAGTCGTGCACGGCAAAACAGACACATCTGTTTATTGCACCCATCTGCCCCCAGCCACCGCCCCCAGCCCCATCTCGCCTCCACAGAACAAACCGAGCCCGCGGGCATCGGCTCCCCCGGCCCCGCGCCCGCAGCTTCCCTCCACGCCGACGCAGCTCCCGCTCCCTCGTTCCCTCGTCCTGGGGTCGAGCACGTCCCCGACCCCCCAGTTCTCCACTGCTTCTGTCCCAACTTCCCCTTCCCTTCAGCTCTGCTCTCCTTTCTCCACCATTTCAGGCCCCTCCAGGGCTGAGCCCCGGCCCCGGCCTGCCCGCGGGGATGGGATCGGGGATATGCTGGGGGCACCGGGCCTGGCAAACACCTCCCGGGGCCACGCCGGGGCCTTTATTGCTGCTCAGGGATGCTCTCCCAACAGGAGGTGGGGCAGGAAAGGCAGGTCCCCATGCCCAGGGTAGCAGCCAAGGGGAAGGTGGGAGGCATGGGGGAGGCCAGGGCAGCTAGCAGACATATGCAAAAAAAATCATGCATATTCAGCATTACGCAAACGACCCCCTGGCACAGCTTGTGCAGGGAAGCAAGGGGCAGGGGTGGGGGGAGTGGGGCCATAGGGCCTGGACCCGGCCCAGCTCACATGCAAGCCGGGAGAGGAGCAAGGGGGGCAGGGGCAGGGGCTGGGGCCAGGGCAGGGGCAGGCGCTGAGCTGCTCTGAGCCCCGCACCCTCACGCCCAAGGCAACGGCTGGAGAAGAAAATGCTGGTGGCTTCATCCCCTTGGCACTGGGACATGCCCGCCGGCCCCCGACACAGGCAGCGCCCACCTGGCAGCTCCTGTCCTTGCCCCCAGCTCCGGCGGCGTCTCTCGCCGGCCGCAGCAAAGCCAGAGCCCCGCGGCAGCTGCAGGGTCCCGGCGACAGGGCAGGCGTCCTGAGGCCCAGGGGCCGTGG